CCTACTTCCTGGTCGCTGGCGCTGGCGCACGCTCGAGGTCGGCGCGCAGCGCCACTGCCACGTTGATGTGGTTGAAGTGGAGACTCCTACCTACTGACTATGAGTCGACTGTGAAGCCGCTACGGGGAAGTAGGTGAGTCCGCCTTACGTGTAGTGAGAGAACAGACATCTATAAATTGCTCTGGTTCCTCAATTCAGGGTCGAACCATTATCTATCGCTTATTATAGCGCGAAATTGCCTTTGTTTTCATGGTAAACAGATCCAGGCCCTGCTATAATAAAGCGTATTGATCAACAGCAGCTAAAATTGTCGATTTCCTTTAACTTCTTTTTGTATACACATTCATAGATATACTGCAGAGTGATAGTTGAAGGACAAAATGGAATACCGAACAATCGTTTTTAGGAGGTGACACGAGTTGCTCTTGTATTCAGAATCGCAGTGACATTTTGAATATGATTTGGCCGGTACAATGGGTTGCAGGAAGAGCCTACCTGCGAGTCAGTAGTATTATCCTCTCAGGCAGTGTGGAGCCAACTAGTCGATACCGGAAAGTAGGTTGATCAGCCCGGGTCCATAGATCTGAGATTTGACCTCCAAACTGTGATTGTGGTGGGTTGCGCTATTTGCACCCACACCAAAACCCTCTAGTGATATCATCGTCGACCGATGATGCCCCTTCGCCCCCAACTGTTGGAAGCGGTTGTGCTAACCCGAGCAGATACACTCACACGGCTTTTTACTCTTCGCTCTGCATCACCAGATAAAACTTGTGCTCTCTCTCTTCTCTCTCTCTCTCCCTCTCTCTCGTTCGCTCTTTCCTATAATAGCTCACTGAACCACCGAATATTCGGCTTAAAAGGGTTAGATTAATCCTAAGCCTCAAAAGCACCCACAAAAAAGCGGATGTCTTAACCTAAATCAATAGGCTGATATTACAGACCAAAGGGTTTTGGCACTGCCACCTCCAACTACGAATCTACACTCGGGCACGCCGTTCGTTGAGGGTCGCCATCGATGGATCGTGTTAGGCCCTCGGAGGGAGAGTTAGGGGGTCGCATTTGCCTCGAATTGTCTTTGAAAAAAGTCTATAGTTCGTTGACTTCCCTTGGACTTTCCCGTTTCACGTGCGTTATATACATCGCGCATCCTCCCCGTATCCACTACCTCAAAGCTCGACAAAAGTCGTTTTTGGGGAAAAGTGGATAGGATTTGGGGAAAAACTAGTGAGTTGTGAGGACTTAGGGACATGATAGGTAGGATAGGAGATGGGATCCTGTAAGGGAGTCTTATAGAGGGTTTCCCTCTTTTAGCATTTATCCCACTCCATGGTGAAGTCCTTTGTTCTTATACGATGAGACTACCTTTCCTGACTGCATGAATGGTTAGGCACCCCTCAGACTTCGCGATGGCAGCGCTCCAGTTGCGTGTTCGACGCGATCGATGTCGCGACTCGCGCGACCGAAGCGCTGCAGTCGCGAAGTCTGGAACGCTGCCTCAAGTAAACGCCGGCCAAATTCGGGCTTGTTTGGAGCGTGTTGAGCCATCTCCCAGTCCGCTCTTCGGGCAGGGCAAGCTGGAAACCATCCATTCTATTAGATTGTGTCATCCTTTGGGCAAAGAACATGGCCCTACCATCAGATGCGCGTTCCGCGCATATTGTCAGTTGAAGGAGCTGTGCTGAACTTAATGCATATAACATCCTTACGATTATGGTACCGACGCATTCTAAGCATACTAACTGTCGCGGAAAATCCCAGAAATGGATTCTCATCGAGCCATGCTGCGACGTTTGATCACTTTCTGAGGCCAACGTGTTCAAGAATATGTAGTATGACGTATTGTTGTTGTCTTCGACCACATGCACAGCCCTATGCCCTATGTCTACACCTGGAGAGGGCGTGTTCATGAAAGTTGTGGGCGCGGCGGCGACAGTATGTTTGTGGTTCTCTAATAAGTGGCAGGATACTCAAAATGGTTCCTGTGTCTTCGCAGCTCTGAAGTGACAACACTCGCAAATACGCAACCGTTCTACACTCATGTCTAAGTCCGTGGACACGCCCTCCCCAGTCGCTGTAATATGGCCTGTTTTGAAGGAACGCTCCGCGTTTGAAAATTATGTTAGTTGTGCGGCTCAAATAGCAGTGTCAAGAAAGTATGTAACACAAATGTGAAGTAAAAAGCAGAGAAAGTCCTACCCAATCGCCCCATATGAAATCCCACGCCGAACCGCACTTGTAAGTGCATAGGGCGAAGAAAGGGCGGGGTTGGACGAGTTCTCCTTTGCTTTGAGTTTTTTCTCCTTATCGATTAATACGCCTAACAGGAGGAATTCCGCGACCCTGAGCAGGCGCTGCATAATGCCTTTTCCAAGGAAGGTGCCCTTATAAGGGCCCTATCAAGCCAACATTCCGACCCAAACGCCCCGCCCACAAATGGACGACCGTTCCTGACGCTCTAATCGATTCATTTGCTAAGCAAATTATGAAGCGAAGGGATTGGTATGAAGCGGCCGTGATGCTGCATGGGTACACATATGCAGCCGTATCTTCGGTAGCGGTTATTGGCAAGATGCCTACGGGAAACTCGTCCAAAATTGATTTTCAAGTCACTGAGAACGGAGGCTCTTTCTTCGCAGGATTTTGACCGTTTCACTCCGTTCTTTCGCCATTTCCCCACTATACAGCGCCCTACTAGCATTTTAGGCCGAGCACCAAATCATCGTGCCAACTGCCTTCAAGCAGCGAAAGTGGAATCTGAAGTTATTTTATCACAATCCTCAAGTGTATTCATGAAATCCGTGTGGAAATAAGTGCGAGGTGACGCAGCGGTGCTACTAGCCATAAGGCTCCTTGTCTGCACCCCCCCCCCAACTACTTCTGGCTCGTTGCATAGTCCTCCAGGCAACAGCCACTAGTTTCAAAGTGCAACTGCTCGGTCTTTGGAAACGTAAAAAGAGAACGGAAGCAATTATCACCGAAAGACGTAAACACGTTTTATTCACCGAGTACACAGAGAATGTTCCCAATGAGAAACTGAGAAATCAATATTTGATGAGTAATTAACCACTGAGACTTTAGCAGAAGTTCTACCCGTACAATTAATTTCTCAGCGTATTCCATTTCAGTACACAGGTTACAATGCCTATATCAGTTAAATTTCTTTAATGACGTATTCAACACAGGAAATAATTTTCTAAAAGCAGGGTAACATGAATGCCGCTATTCACTGTAGTGTAACATCAATGAGATGCTCATTACTAATAAGGACTTTTCAATGCACTTAGCAAAAGAGATTTAACTTTGTATTCAATTACTTTCAGCGAATTTTGGGGCTAACCTTGACTTCCTAACACGATGAGCTCGTGACGAGGCAAAGCCTCGTGGTGGAGCAGCTATATTGGCTGTACTATTGGTAACAACGCCTTCTTGGTTTTGCTGGTTGACGGGCGTTGATGCTGAAGAGTGCTCGCCTCCTCTTCTACGGCGCAGTTTTCTACATGGTAGCGTAACCTTAAAACACAACGTTGAGCTACACAAACATACTATGCGATTAAATGATAGGTGAACTCAGTGTGGGTGGTGCAAAGGTCCAGAGCTGATAAGCATACCGCTTTCAACTCGAAGAAGGGTACGCTTTGGCTTAGGGAGGAGGGGTTCAGCTGGTTTCTCTCACGAGTTCCTATGAACTAACAAGTCCCATATTGGTGATCATTGTAGACTCCTGCCAGCAGTAAGATAGCGTTCAGACTGCGCGACGGCAGCGCCTCGGTCGCGCGGTTCGCAATTGCGGACTCAGCGTCACGCGTGACGGCGGTCTCGGGAATCCCTGCTCCTTCCTGGTATTTCTGGGCGTCGTGCGACTTGAGTTTCGTTAGTTGAGTGTCATTAAGTATCACATGCAAACAGTGACTTTTTCTGTTGGCAGAAACCACAAATGTTTGCAGTTACTTAGTACGCAATTACGACCCATCTTTCTCCTGAATACAGAGTTCAGAGACAAAGCCTCACTCGTCCTTCCTTCTTCTTCTTCCTTCCCTCCTTCTTTTCCTCCCTTCCTCTGTTCCCTCTTCCTTTTCCTTCTCCCTCCAAATGCTCGATCAACGGACGCGATGAGAAAATACCCCCGAACCCTCGCAGCGAGAGAATGTTCTATTGACAAGAATCCTGTAGCCCGCGTATCGAGCGGCGGCTATGACATGGACAACATCAACTACACAAACTTAGCCACAAACAGCTTCGAGCACCCCCTCCCCCACTCCCTTGGGTGAGAGGAGACGTACGCTTCTTCTTCTTCAGCGTTTGTCCCGCTCTGTAGCGGGTCCGCTCGTCTTATTTTGTCACGCCACTTCTCCCGATTGAATGCTTGATCGGGATGGGTGCCAACTATCTTCAAGTCCGCATGCAACGTGTCTAACCAGCGCTGCTTGGGCGTCCTTTAGGCCGCTTTCCGGGCACCTCGAGCTCAAGACCAGTCCTACGGACAGTGTCACTATTCGCGCGTAGTACATCACCGTACCATCGATGACGGAGGCGTACACTTCTAAAGCTGAGGATCTTTTCACCTCTCACAGGGGAAGTATACACTTCTACTGGAGTGATCCTGAAGTATCTTCAATAAAATGAAAGATGGAGAACCTACCTATCTTTCATTATGGGGTATCTAAAGCTAGGGAAGAAATAGTTGCTAAGAAACCTTTGAAGAAACTCAGTACAAAACCATAATTGACCTACCGAAGAAGGCTTTAAATCCGTGAGCTTGGGGTCATTGGGAGTTTGTTGAACTTGAGAACTAAAGAAGTGGCCATTGACTGGCAAGGGACACGGCAATCCAGGAGTTGGAACAACGTGACGCTTAAAAGTACTATTTTCGTTAAACTCACGCCAAGGCATTTGGTGTGATTCTACCATAAATGTAAGTTATACCTGTATGACAGGAGCACGCCTTCGTTGGTTTCCTCTTTGCGGAACAGTTCCCCTCCGCAGCAAGAGGTTTCCCAAATCTGGAGGGAAGGGCGCGCAACCCATCGGAGTATGTTGCACCTTCAGCGCCGAGAACGCGTTTCTGCAGCTCTGTAAACAAGTACTTTTATTAACACAAACAGCCATGATCCCTGCAAACGATAAGGCGTGTGACGCGGCGCGTATAGGGGCGCAGCCAGGGCGGCCTTGTTCCAGCATTGATGACATCCCGAGCTCGCTACAGTTAGTGGGAAATCGGCCCTGGCTGGGCCCCAAGTGATGCCCCCCCCAATCCTGCATTGCAGCGATTATTGTTGTACTGGATGAAAAATGTACCTCAGTCTGATTTTGTGGGCTTGTTGGAAACAATTTCGTAAAGGCACTCGGTTGAGCGCCCCCACACGGCCTTGGTTCCCAGATAGCTTTGTTATCATTACAGGTATTCTCTGATGAGTGGGCGAGTAGTTTTAGCACTGCCGGTGGTTCCTAAAGTTCACGGATTTCACACAATACAAACGCATTCATTCCACGCAAAAACTAACCTTTTCAGGCTCGTTAGTCGCGATAGTTTTCGGTGTTTTTATCCCAAGAAGACTTGCCAACTGATTTTCAACAACTTCTTTCTAAACGGATCCAATCTACACTAAATAGTAACGACAGGAAAAAATAAAACCTGAAAACGAACCGAAACAGCAGCTGCTAGGATTGGAGGCGATTGTAATGTAGCCGGATCAACTGCAGGCTTTGAAGTAAGGGGCGTTGAAATATTGGCTACAATCAAAAAATACTTATAGGCACAATAAGCAATGAATTCAGGGCGAGAACCTGCATTGTGCCGTAGTTGTGAAGGGAGGGGCAGGGTTAGACCTCACGGACTCTGGACTTCTAGGGCCGTAAAGTATTACTATTCAGTCGCGTCATCGCGTACACTGGCAGCATATCCCCTAGCTGGCTTGATCAGACGGCTATAGTCGCAGAGAGAGTTAGTCGACTTGACAGACGCAGACGAAGAGAGAGCCAAGAAAGTCGACGAGTGGCAGCACTGCTACGTCGAGTGGATTGGGTCCCGGTACGAATGGTGCATACTTCAACATTCTCCACGGTCTCTTATGTCCCTTTGCTGTTTTAAAATCCAGGGGCACGATAAATGGAGAAGGCGTACAGGGTCCACAGCCGCTGCCACCATCACAGCGCCCGACCAAGGTGCAATATGAAGACCCAGATGCCCGCCGCAACCGCTCACCCACAAACGCACTCACTGTTACATCGACGCTGGTACCCTTATCGGTTGTTGGCACAATGCCAAGAGAAACTCGTCCAATGCCGTGAAGAACAAATGTTTTTCGCGGGTTTTTGGCCGTTACTTCGTTTTTTCGTCATTTTCCCCACTATGTGACACCCCTGCCACTTTTACTGAGCAAATTACGGGATACCGGCCTTACGCCTTCAAAGCCATATGGCACGATAATTTGGTACTCACACACCAGGTTCAACAATGCCAGCAGGATGGTGTAAAGTGAGGAATATGGCGAAAAAAAGAACTGAAACGGACGAAAACCTGCGAAAAACCCTTAGTTCTCAATGTCTCAAAAAGCGATTTCGGACGAGTTTCCCGTAGGCATCTTGCCTGACCGCTACGGTAGATACGATGCACGTATGTTCATATATCCATGCAGCACCGCAGCCGCTTCATATCAATCCCTTCGCTTCATATTTACTTTGCAAATAGCAATACGAGCATCAGGTACGGTCGTCCATTTGTGGGCGGACGGGCGCGGTGGGCGTCCGGGTTGGTATGTTGCAGCATAATAGGGGCCGGTCGAAGATTTGATGGCGGGGTCTTTATAAGCGTGCCACTTGCCACCATCACAGCAACTGCACAGCCATACACTCTAATATTAAACGCTCCAATGCACTATTGCACAGGCAAAATAAAACACCTTTCTGTGCAAGTATAATCTTCTGAAGCTGTTCCGTTATCGGCAGCCCACGTTGTGCGACAATTGGAGATGCATGAGAACCCGACAAAGGACTCTAAAATTAGATGTTAAAGAGTGTTCATTCTCGTGACAACGAATTCCGTACCTGTTGATAAACGGAGGCGGAGTTTTCTTTCCCTGCAGGCAAGCGCTTCTCTTTCTTCGCACGATTGTTACGACTTTCTCTCGGTGGCTTCACTTTTTCAGTGGCTTGAACAGTATGTCCTTTCCGCGATTTTCCATAAGTGATGTTGATCAGAGAAGTTTTTGCTACGCAAGCGCCACTGTTTCTCGTTCCCCTAGAAGACAGGGTTTAGGCTACAACTTTTACCTAATTTCCTGTATTTCTGTGATGTATTCGGTTCAAATTCTATCTTATCTTTTCAATGATGTACATCTCCTCGGTGCACCCCTTTTATATGACATCATCCCTTTTTTACCTAATTTCGATCAATGTCTGTCCAATCAAGTTCAACGGTCATTCAACGGCATTAGACCTCAACTGCCGATGATGATGCCACTTTACACTCACAAGAGCTAAACCAATAACGGACGTGTGAAAAAGGGGGGGGGGGGGCTACGGGCAATAGCCACTAAAAAAGAGGGGGGGGGAGGGGTGGTGAAAGGTGTGGTGAACGTATTTCCTGTATCTTCATAGATGGCACCAAACGGAATTACCAAAAAGGGGCAAATCATGGCGATGAGGAAAATTCTTTTGGATGCAGTCCTCTCTCCAGAACATCCAAGGAGGACCTCAGATCAGTTGTCGGTACAGCTCTTGAAGACAATTCCCGCGATCAAGTGTTACGGTTAGGTGTACAATTATGAACCGGTAGCTCATAAGTAACTCCCAGGTAGACAGAGAAGTGAAAAAAGCTTGGGAACACTTAGCAGTGACGCCTTAGACGAGTTTGTCGGACGTCGGCAAGCCCAATCAGCAGGATTCGACGTGCAACCAATTCCGGCAAGAGCACAGGAAATCACCCTACGACGCTCCAGGCAACGCTATGTATACGCATTCGCTTGTAAGCCGTTGTCTTGCAGAGTGAAAGTAATCGTGGTTGCAATAATCACGCGTCTCTAGCTTCTTTATCTCGCCGTTTCGAGTGACGAAAGTGGTATATTCTCTGCGAATGCGGACAACGATGCCGGAGGCACTTCGCGGGCCACTTGATCGCGAGAACTGTCTTTAAGTACAATCACTGACAGCTGCCAAATCAGACGCTCTCCCCCTCGCCCCATGAGCATTCTCCAATACAATTTCTTCTCTATATTACATACCATCTTCCTCTGTTTTCTCAACTCAACTACGAGCTTACAACTAGAAACATCCCTCTCAAGGATCAGTACGACCCCTCCAATCCAATGAATAGGTACGACCCCGTCGCTAGAGATCCGCAAAGTACGACGTGCCCTATGCTAAGTATGATCCCTCCCACTCCACCGGGGATTCCTAGATGACGACATCCCGTTCCAACGGATTCTCTAAGTAACTAAAATGTCTAGGGCGGTACGGGAACAGTCCCTCCAGAAGCCTTTCTTCTAATCAACTAAAGGAAGTGGTGATTGTGAAAACTTTTGAGGTTACTATTTCACTGCTCTACCGAAGGAAGAGGTCTAGACATCGTGGTCCCAAAAATTCCCCACCAACAGAACCACTTCGTTTCTGCCTTACCTGATCTTGTATCCACTGTTGAACTCGTGATCGAAGAGAACATCAACTTTACCAGACGAAAGTCCCACTACTGTTCCCTGGGATCCGAAAGGAATCGTGGTTCCCTAAATGAACAAATTGTAGGGGTAACACTGACCGTTGCTGTGACGCAATTAAAAAAGTATGCTGCACCCTGCTAGTGTCAACATTCCTTTCAAAGAAAGCAGCTTCTATGCGACACCTACTATATGTATACCCCAAGCGAGCGTAGCGGTTTAGTGCATTTAGACCCGCTACAAAATGAGGTAAATGCTAAATGAGGTTCCATGATTCTGCTAACGACCAAGGATGCAATTATGAGGTAGTTTTCAACTAGACAGAGACCTTCGAAAGGTGGGCACGACTGCTGAAGACGGCCGGTTATTGCCAACATCACTGGTGGATGGGCTGCGATATTCCGTTCGGCCACACCCCACTCATTCCTTCCACCAGTGGCGTCGGCAACAACCGCCCGCCTCCAGCAAATTTGTCCTCTACCTTTGGAATGGAAGCAGCACATAATGAAGATGATAATTAGCTATTCTCTTTATACCTGCAAGGTATAGACCACACGATCAAGCAATAAGAAGTCAGCGTCCGGATCAGCGCAGCACTTGCCACCATACAGCTCTGCCTGAAACTGACCAGTTGTAAGGTCACCATTCCAAAACTGATATTAACTAAAAAATAAAATATAGGCCAGACATTACCCGATATAGAACACCAGGATTAATGGCACACTTCCGGAATCCCCAGCGTTTCTTCGGCACTTCCTTGATGGCATTCTCTATTTGTGCTGGAACGCAGATATTACGACTCACATTTACCGAAAAGGGAGACTTCCTAGTCTCTGCATTTCAATTTTACTTTTGGAATATTCAAGGTAGCAAATGCAAAAGGAGCTTTTTTCTGTCTGTTGTCCACTTCTCAAAACACAGGCCACTTCCCAAGAAAATTCATCCTAAGGATAAATCTGGGTGGAATTCCGTCCCTAGAAGTAGCTTCATCCCGTCAATCAATATCATATTTGCTTAGCGCGAAAAAACCTGATACCAGCGCAACGGGCACCAGGGATGAAACTGGCGTGTCTCACCAGGCTTTTTTTGCTTGTAAAGGATGTGATATTCGTGGTCCAGGAGTCAGAATACCCCTGGAGCGAAGTTTTAGTCAAATCTACCGCCTGGGAAAAATGCGATGAAAATGTGGCATGAACTTCAAAAGTGAGCGCTAAGGGTGTAACTGCTACCGCAGAATGATTAAAGTCGAGCCCTTACCTATAACAAGACGATCGACGTACTCCGTTCCACCCTCTTGTTTTTCCATACTGTGAGTTGGGACGTTTGATAAGAATTCCTTTCAGTTCCGACACGCGCTCCTGTAAATTTTGTGTGAAGTGACGTCTGTAAATAATTCCTAGCTCACAGACTACGCTGCAATCCCTTTTTAAGTTATAAAGTCAAGTCACCAAGTACGTGAAAATACTGCTAGCTCTAAGGCAGTG